TTAAAAAAAATAAATTGTGTCCCTACCAGTTTCATCTTCTTTTTTACATCCAGATTTGCTGCTTTCTGGCCCTTGGCAGTAGCATTGAGATAATAGATGGCCAAACTAAATTTAAAAATAAAATAAAATTGAGGGTACTTCTATTTCCCAACATCCTTTCCAAAGTTCATACTAACTAAATCAGACTAACAAGAATGTACCTGAGGTATTTCCCATCTACAACTTCTTATTCTGCAGGTAAGAACTGAGGTCCAGAGGAGTAAAGAGATGAGTACCCAGAACCCAGGCTGGGGGTGGGGGCAGCTAGCCTGGAGGGAGGCTGAGGCAGGAGGATTGCAAGTTCATGACCTGGGCTACATTTCAAGTTCAAGGCCAGGTTGGAAACCTTAGTGAGACCTTTGGGAGGTAATGGTAGACCACTTGTAGAGCATGTGTTGGCCACATATTCACTCCCCATATTATTAAAATAAAGTGCGGTGAGAATTCCATGGTGACTAGGATGAACCTAGAAAGGTGGCCCAAAGGTTCTGCTCTGCCAGCTACCACACTGTCCTATTCCACAGTTCAGTCTTAGCTTTTTGGAAGAGCATTATCATCTGTTAAAGTATTACGGCCACTTTCTCATCAATGGCAATGGCAACAAAAGAAACGGCAAATCTGATGAAGTTTAGGGACTGCAGCGACTATTTCTACTTTAAATGCCTGCTTTGATAGTTACAGGAAAGAATACAATCCTCATGGGCATCCTTGATTAACATGGACTTTTTTCCCCATAAAATATATTGTTTGTGTTTCGCCCTCCCTCAAAAAAGAAGATGTTTTCCAAAGGAAAAATTTTGGATTTTAAGTAAAATTTACATTTCTAGAAATGCAAATTCCAGCTCAACAATTCTGACAAGATAAATGCCCTCATCTTCTCTTTTAAGAATTTTCTTAGAAAACTTCCTGGATATAGGAGATGAACTTAAAACTCTCTCAGAGCCATATTCAGCCCTGTAATTCTCATTCATCCATCACTTATGCTTTGTTTACTAATACATCTTAAATGAGTACCCCTCACATACACTTCCTTGCCTCATACTAGTTCTAACTAAAAACTAACCTGAATACTACCTGTGCGTACAACTGAAAACCATCCACCTGGCTTTCCTCTGTATCAAGAGCCATCAAACTACAGCCCACATAGAAGATCCATCTCCCACGCTACTTTCTATGGTCTTTGAAATAAGTACTTTTTTGAAAAAATATATGAAATGCCTCTTGAATTTACATGTCATTTTTGGCAGGGGCCATGCTAATCTCTGTCTCATTCCAATTTTAGTACATGTGCTGCCAAAGCAAGCATGACTAAGTGCTTTCTATATGTTTCGATATTTATCTAGATACATACCATCACGAGTTTTGTCTCTTGGCCTAAAATATCTATTATCTGGACCTTTAATACTAGGGTGCCTCAGTCAACCAGATGTGTCAACCTATGACCCTTGGGCCATGTGCGTCCCAGGATAGCTTGAACAAGACTCAGCTTTATAGAGCACAGTCATAGTCATTTGCAATGCCAAAAGTCTGGACACGCCTTGACTATTCCTAACAAGGGACTTCTGGGCCTTCTGCTACTCCACTGACACCAAACTTCATTTAGTGATGCAAGTGGGTGGAAGGAATCGAAACAAGAGTGATAAATGAATCTCAATTCCACTGATCAGCCACTTCACTTGGGACAGATCAACTGTGTGTTATTGACAATGTGATTGATGGAGCCAATTCATAAGACTGCTATGGTTAAAAATGAGTCAATGTATGATTCATACCTGGAACGACAGCATTAATTCCCTTTCCATGCTTTCAGATAGCTTATTGGGTCCTTATGGCATTCAGTATTGCTGTTGCTCCTTTGCTTTGAAACAAATCAGTCTCACAACAAATTGAGACTCTGGTAACAAATGCTGACCTTCATTTATGGTCCATGTGTCTCTATGCATGTGCTTTAAAGAAGATTTCATCTAGGCTTTTAGAGAGATTTTTGTATCAAAAGTCACAGGATCCTTGTTAACTTGCTGTTAGAAGCCATTATTAAGAAATTGTGGTATAGGAAAACCACTTGAAGGGTCATCTGTTGGGTGATGCTTCTCACACTTCTCCAGAGATTTACCCTCAGATTTGTAATAAGGTTCCAAAGCATGTAATAGCAATCCCTTTATGGTTGACTTATCCCTACGAGCTATTGCTCTCCCTCCTGGAAGGTGTCAGAGTATAAACGAGTGAGCATTGGATTTCCTGGAAAGGGGTCTACTCTGAGTGCCACTTCCACGTTACTATGTTTCTCACTTAGGGAAGAGCACATCAACCCCGTAAGTTTCTTAGTTTGTAAAGTTGAAGATGGCCCTTGTCCTCACCACCTTATGTGACTGTGGCCATCACAATGGCCAAGAGGATGGTCACAATAACTGAGTCAGAATCCCAGCTTCTTCATTTAACAGTAGTGGGAGTTTCCTCCCTTGTTTTTACTTCTTTTGCCTTTATTTAAGCAAGTCTGACCCTCTGCATCAACTTTGTTGGTGAAGTGTTTCTGCAGGCAGAATAATACTTGCTGCCCTTGACCTAAAGTCATGGCAGTTCCACACTTTCTCATTAGGAGGGGCTAGCATGTGGAAAAGGTGTATTTCTTGGTTCTTTCAGAAGCAAGCATATGTTTATACTGCTATAGCTGAAAATCTTAAGCCAGTGAAAGGTGCATAGGAAGAAAGCCTCCTGCTAAATTCCCTTTTGGAAATCATTTGACTTTGAAGGGATAGATTAAGGGAACTCTGCAAGATGCTATACTCTGATTCTGTTACCATGGATGCATTTATTGGCAGTCCTTGAAGGAAAAGGGATCGGGTGACTTTTAAGGCTCCTTAAGCCATCAGTCCTAAAGTATAGCTTACAGGGTTTCCAAGGGGAATGTTAACATAAAGGCACATCATTTCTGTAAATTCACAGCCATGTGCTTTATGGAACAAGAGGTAGGGGCCATGTTGAGAGGGAAACGCAACATGCTGATTAGATTTAGCAATAAGCATTTATGTTTCCCTTGCTTTAGCTGTTACTGATAATTATTTTGGTTACTTGGGAACAAATCTTATAATCCTAGAGAGGCAGAGACAGATGTAGATGGCTGTGAACTGCATCCAATAGGATCAGAAGCTGGCACATGTAGCAACATAACCATCATCAAGTTGGTTGTTACAGCACAACCCATGGGGAGAGGGAGGGAGCTGGAAAGCCTGAAAGTTAAAAGGACCCTGGGAGTAAGTTCCAAAGACTCGTTCACTGAGAGGGCAGGTACATACACCATCACCAGAATGACAGCAATGACCAGCCCGGGGTTAGAAAGCTGCCTCAAAATCTTCGCCATCCAGCTTGGGAAATCATTTTCCAGGGTCTCACCAATGACTTCAAACATCCTGTTTTTGCCACTGGGGGAAAGAGGGGGGGAGTTACTGAATTTAAAATGATTTGCAAAAGTATGATCACAGCAAGTAAATGAAATGTTCTCAAATATTGCATAGGAACACTTTTGGGTTGAAAATCTACTATTTGGCTACATCTCCTTATGCTCTGACCTCATCTTATCCTCAGGTGAATGTGATGTGAGTAATGTCATGCCAGCATGCACACTTAGACAAAGCAGTCAGGAAACTACGCACAGCCACAGAAGAATTTTAAACATCGTATTTCTAAGTTTTTGATTGAAAGACATTTTATGTCGGGCATAAGTCTGCTCCTCTGCTAGCTGCTCTTAGTTAGACAAGGCTGTCTTTGGGCTTGGTATGTGACACACTCAATTATTAATTGGCTTTGGAAATAAAAGCAAGAAATATATTAGTGGAATAACATCTACAGACACTCCAGTATCTCTTTCCACACCATGGTTTCTACCTCTTTCCCACCAGACCTCCTTCATCTCCCTGAGTGTCTCTCCTGTTACACAGCTCCCAGTGAACACCAGCTAAGACCCATTGAGGTTAGAGGAGAATCAGCTCCTAGAACTAGAAAAGTGAGAGCAAGATGTTTTAAGTTACTATAGAGCATCTAGAACTGTGATGGAACACTGGCTGTGCTAAGCTATTCCCTTTGTATATGTATACTAATCTTTCTAGAAAACATTGTAATTTATATAAAAGCTTTGGGCTGTATTTCAGCAAAGTATATGTACCCTCAGTTTAAAGTTAGCAGAGTATTTGATCTTTACTTTTGTTTTTTAGTATTTAAACATTTAAGCGAAATAGATATGATCCACATTCAAGATGAAGTGGAGGGATTTTTTTCCCCCTCATCAGTTCTAACTAGGCCTGTCTTTCAACAGACAAGGAGTGATTCCATATGGTTCATCAGGAGTTATTAGACTATGGCATATATGTGATTTATTTCCCAAGTGGTAGATCAGAGCAGACACATAAAGGCACACAAGTGACTAATGTTAAGAACAAAGCCACAGATGGTGCTTAAAGTCTTTGGGAGTATGGGTGATGCTTATGTCATTGTTAAACATTTCTGAAACTTTCATTTTATGTAGGATTATTTTTCACTGTAAGATAAAAATAAATAAAAAATAAAATTGCAATGAGCAAGTGAAAACTGGAGAGCTATTGTAAGGTATTGACATATGTGTGAGCAGACATCAATGTGGAGACATGTGGCTGAACGGTTAAGAGTACTGTCTTCATAGGGCTATCAAATAAATAGCTTTTAAATTTCCTAGCATTTAAGGTAAATCCACCAGAGAGCTGTCTGAATAATATTTCTAGAAAATGTATCAGAATTTGCTGGATGTGTCATTATGGCTTTGCTGAGTGTGTGAACGGATGGCAGCCATCTTACCTGCAAACACACCTGCAACTCTAGAGCAACCAGACAGCACGGTGGTGTATTCAAATTCAAAGTTGAAGACAGAATTGAGGTTTCAAATTAACCTCCTTCAAATTCATTGTGCCCAGTTTGCTGCCCACTCAGGAGCCAGACAGAGTCTGGCCCAGGCAGGTGGGCAACACCTCAATTCACAGTTCCTAAGCATGACAAACCATGGGGAATGTGTTTCCTGGACTCATTTCTAGAACAGAATTGCCTTTCTAATTCTTGGAGTAGACAAAGAAATAAACATTCTTTTGCCACCAAAGAAAGAAACCACTAGAAAAATTAAGGGACATAGATGAACCCCTTTCCCAGGACTCTTCTGCAAACATGTGAATGTTCCTAATCTCAAAACAGTGATCTCTATAGAGTGATTGTGTCCAAATTTGTCATTCAGAAAACTTTTGGCAAAAATCACATACAGGGGAAATAGAACTTAAAAAGCTACAGTTGGGCAATCATTGTGTTTCTAACTGGAATTTTAAGTCTGAATCCAGCTGTGCAGCCACTCAGCTTGGTGTTCACAGTTTGTGTGGTTTCCTTACACTGCTGTAACAGAGCAAAGGTTCATTACTGTGTTTTACTGAGGAGGATCAATTTTTAAATAAAAAGCTAAAAGCACCTTTAACATGCATCTTAGATATAAAATCATGTGAATAATTCTCAGTTAACCGAAGACTTTTCAGTGGCTTATCTTTTGAACAGTGTACTCAGATTAAGATATCTGCTTCAAGACTGCAGTTTCATATTTAGTCTCCAGATGTCACTATCCGTATTATTTATTCCAACCCAACTGCCAACAATTATATGTGTATATGCACATGTACACACACATGTGCAAGCAAACACACATGCACAGAAAAATGAGCAGGGCTTATCAACCTCAGTTTCTTGAGTCTGACAGACACTAGCTAGTTCTGAACAATCATTGATTTAATATTTCCTTTTTCAGTAAAACAATAACTGAAGTAACTATTGGAGTAAAAAATGTCTTTTATATTTGGCCTTGGGCAACAAACTTTTTGGCTTCAATTAAATCACTTGGGTCTGACAGCACGAAGGGAAAATTCTATGTGGGCATTGGTACATGGAGTTTGTAGCTCACAAGACCTTCATACTCATTCCCTTTATGTCAGATGTGTACAGGGATTCCGGGGGGACATGTGATAAGTTTGTTTCATTTCTAAGAGCTTTCAGGGAATGAAACCCTGTTCTCCACATCCCAAAGACTCTAATTTTTTTGTTCATCATGTAGACTTGTAGAAAAGTAAACTTTAACTTATGTCAGAGAGTTTTCTTGAGTCTTGATTACTGATTTGAGTGACTCATAGGTAGAATATAAATGCTGAACTGGGGAATACAGATTTTTAATTCACAGAGAACTTTGGGATCAAAATATAGGTGACTCTTTGTATATGTATCACGATTTCGGAATGAGTCTACTTCTCACTTAAGGTGGAAAATCTGCTTTTTCCAAGGTCCACATGAAACGTAACAATGTTGATTGTACGTATCAGGAAAATCTTCACATCCAGACCATTGTAATCAAACCTTCTCTTAGCTACCCCCTAATATGGAAACAGCTGGCCTCATTGTCTATGTTTTACCCAGGCAGAACCTAGAGCAGCATAAATTATTTTCCCTTTATGAATCTCAAGGGAGCATTTAGATGGAGGATGCCTGAGATGCTCCACATCACATGATGGTCCTGGTGACGCAAAGGATCTAATTTCTGCCAACCAAAAATGTCATCTAAAAAACTTAAGCCTGGACAGTGAGGGGCCATTCCCCCCTCTACCCCTAAATGAACACTGCCCCCAGGCCAAATCTGGAAGACAAGAGACCTGAAGGGACCACAATCGAAAGACGGCGGCAGGGAGACGATCATGTACAGGACGGGCATGGTGGACAGGAAGAGGATGAGCAGCAGCATGCCCAGGTAGAAATTGTTGGATCTGGACGCTTTGAAGACTCTGGCCTCAGGAACATTGCAGCACATCACCGCCCAGCACTGGAAGTACATGGATGTGTGGAGTCGGAGGATATTGATGCCTGGGAGGCTAGGAGCAAAGAAGGAGCCCATCCTAGAAGAAGAAACCAGCATCCTGCTCAATTCCAAGTCTTTCCTGCATAAGGAAGTCCCACAGTGCCTGTTTAAGTCATGCTTCCCAACAAAGGCAGGAACCGTATGGCTACACCCAACCATGAAAGCTGCCTATAAATAATCTTGACTAGCCCTGCTTCCATCTTCCAGACACGTTTTACCCTTTTTCCCATTTTGCAAATATTTTATATCATTCTTTCACAGGACGTATGTCATAAACTAAATCTGTTATCATGAGTAAAAATAAGCTCTAAGAGTCAACAAATGTTACAATTTTTAACTTTTTTATTTCTTCTAATGTTATAAACTCATTTTTCCAATAGTTATATCATTGACTAGCGTATTTCAAAATAAAATTTTAAAAAAATAATTAGCCATTAAAATCTGTCATTCTATTCAAATAAACTTTACATTTAGATTAAGCACTTTTGTTATAAAGTTTTGCTTAGTGAAAAAGGTAAAAATTTTATAATGTGATTTTTCTGTGTAGTAGCTATAGTGCTTTAGAGCTGATAGAAACGATATTGATAATATTATATTGTCTTCCTTGATAACACATAGCTGTCTATGTGTTTTCATGATAAAAATTCCTCACATTCATTTAAATTTAGTCATTATTTAATAATCTAGGTAATTAACTTTTTTGGGGGGGGCTTTTTGAGACAGGGTCTCCCTATAGCCACAGCTGGCCTGGAACTCACTATACAGACCAGGCTGGCATCGGTCTCACAGAGGTTTGCTGGCCTTCCTTTTTAAAAACATTTTATTTATTTTTATTTTATATGTATTAATATATTGCCTGCATGTATGTAACTGCACCTGTGTCATGCAAGGCCCTAGAGGCCAGAGGAGGGCATTGGATCCCCTGGAACTGGAGTTAACAATGGTTCTTAGCTGCCATGTGGGTGCTGGGAACTGAATTTGGGTCTTCCTGCAAGAACAGCCAGTGCTCTTAACTGCTGAGCCATTTCTCCAGCCCCTTTTCCGTTACTTTTTTAAAGTACTATATAATACTATTTTTGAACAGAAATCACCTGTCACTTTTATTTGATGTCTTAGTTAATCATTAAAAAATAAATTTTGGTGTTTTTTTAAATGAGAAAATCTATTTGTATCATAGAACAATTTGAATTTCAATTTGGAAGTCCAAAACAAAAAAGATACATCTGTACTTATTTTATAAGAGTGGAGCCCTATCTTTTAAACTGTCCCAAGGTGTCCCAAAATGTCTCAGCATGTCTGGTCAGTTTAACATTTGATATCTCCCGAATGCATATAATAGTTGTTTAAGGTGATTTTAATTGTCAACTTGATACAATCTAGAATCACCTAGAAAGACAGTTTCAATGAGGGGTTGTCTAGATCAGGTCGGCTTTTGGGCATGTCTGTGGGGGAATTTTCCTGATTACATTAATTACAGAGGGAAGACCTGTACACTGTGGGTGGCATCAATCCCTAGACAAGGAACCTTGAACTGCTTAAGAGTGGGAACATGAACTGGTGTATGTGCCATGCATCCGTTCATTGTTCTCTCTTGCTGACTATGGATATTGTGGTTAACTGCTTCAAGCTTCTGCTGCCTTGGATAACTGCAACCTGAAATTGTGAGCCAAAAATCAATGGCTTCTTCCTAAGTTGCTTTTGTCAGAGTATTTTAGTCACAATAACAGGATAAGAAACTAAGAATCTAAGTCATAACCTAATTTTGAAGGAATACTTTGTATATTACAGAAGCGTTATAAGTGAGAAGAAATTAACTTCTGCTTTAATTGTACTTCTACCATCCCAAAGTTAATTCATTCCTTTGAAACACAAAATATTCCCAAAAATTGAATTATATTGTTGGTAAGATGCCAAGCAGCATATCTGAGTGATGACATTGTGAACTGACCACAGACTTTGCAAGGAGTTCTTTTTTCATGGAGAGTAGATTTTAAAACAACACTATGTACCTTTGTTATAAACTAGCAAGAGAGAAGTTGGAACTCAAAAGAGAGTACATGATGACAGTTCCAGTTAATGTGGAAGGATTACAAAGCTCGCCCCCTGGGTCTGATCATGCCTACCACCCTCCAAAACTGAGGGTGGGGTAGGTGACATGTTTTGGTCCACAAAGCATAATTGTAAATGAGATGTCTCACTACTGGGTGGAAACTTTACCAGTTTTGTTTCCTTCTCTTCCTGCTATTGTGACAGCAATGTTCCAGATTGATTCTACACCATCAGTATAGGACTCTGAGCGAGAATGAGGCATGGGATCAGAGCTCTGCCCCAGCCTGCACTGAATATTTTTTTTTCTCTAAGGCGCTAAGATCTGGGTTTTTTTTTTTCATTTATGCACAAATTAATTGAGTCCAAGTTAAAATTTTGAATATAAATAATTCAAAGCCTAGATTTTCCAAAAATGACTCATCCATGTGCCTATAACACAATGGCATTGCTTCTCTAAATGAATACATGTGCACCCACATGTTATATGCAAATGATCTATAGGTAAACAAATTTCAAAATAAATATCACATAGATATTATGAGAGCCAAAACCCAAAGAGGCAGGTCTTGGCACAATAATATCTGAATCTTAGTGATCATCTCATTTTTGTTTATGATTTACTAATCAGCTCAGCCCACTGTGTCCCTTACCCAGACCTCATTCTGTCATCTACCAGGTAAAAGTCATCGCAATATCTTAGCTTTTATAAGATGGCTTTTCTTCCAAGAAGACCAAAGTGAAGGAAATAATCTTCTGTTTAGTGCTCCAGGGCCACATACATATCAGGTATTCACACCTTATCATGAGGAGCAAAGGACAGTGTGACTGGAAGGATGGTACTCAATGAATCCAAAGTTCTTCTCTGTCAGATCAGTGCTTGATGTGTGATGCTCCTCTATGTTCTGCTATTTTAGAATATTATGTGTTTTTCCCATTTTGATATATTATTACAGATATATATGATGTTTATTGTAAAAATAAATATGCAAATGAAGGTTTGTTGATCATTAAGCCAAAAGAATAGATTTTACTAATGTTTTGACTTTAATACATCTCAATAAATGTTCTACAATGCTCAACAACTCCTAAAGCACTGATTGAATGTCTCTAGTCACAAACCAATGCAACCAAATAAAAAAATCCCTATAATGTTTCGATTGTTTTATTAAAAAGAATGGCTAACTCAGGCACTAGCTCCTCATGTGTGTGAAATAGTGGAATTATAGTATGTTTGGACCCTGTGCAGAGTAAGCCTGCTGGCTTTACATGTGACCCTCACCATACCTTCCTACCACATCCCATGCCTACTCCCTCATCAGTCTCCTGAAAGGAACAGAATATCTGTGCAAAGCACTGACCTTATGGAAAATAACAGAATTGTTATTTTGCCTCTGGAACTCAGGAACATAAATACCTTTGGTACACTCATGAAACATAATCACATCCTAAAGTTCTCATCAAATTAGCCAGAACAAGCCTGATCAGTGTCTGAAGAATAATATAAAGTGACAATGCCAACTCTGATAATGCAATTTTCTGCCCCTTAGAAAACTGAAAACAATTTTTACATATCTTTCAAGATTTTAGTATGAACTACAGTGGACAAAATCACAAATGAAACCAATGAGGCTGGCAATTACAATAGCTTTTCCAACAATAAAAGTGATTTCTGGGACAACCTATTGTGCTACCTCTGAGAGAACACACTCAGTGTTCAACATATGTCTATGCCAGAGGGATTTATGGCACTGTGTGGGCACTGCAGACATAAGGAACAGGTTTCTCATCATTCCAATAGCCATGCTGCCCACTTTCTGCCATGGAGCAGCTTCCCATCTGGGAAGTGAAAGATTAGAACCCAGAGGAACTGCTCTCCCCCTTTCCTGGGTTTACCAGTTGTCACCTTGACTTTCCTCCCTGTGTGGAGAATGAAGAGCACATTCCAGCCCTTAGTGATTCTCTGGTCACTAAAGCCATATTTGAAAAAGGCAAAATATCAGGGGAGAGGAATTATAATTTTAATAATCTCTTATAAAAATTATAATTTTATAATTTTAATAATCTCTTATAACAGAAATAATTTTTTTGTAGTGTTTTCTTTATACTGGTTCACCTAGGGAGGCAGAAATTTGACAGGTACGTTGGCAGGATGATGGACTTGGAAGCCACCCTTATGCTATTAAAGCAAGGTGATTTTCATGTTTGCAGAGGTCCAGTTCCAGTCTCTGTCAAGATGGCTTTGGTTGAAGGATCTGAGTAACATTTGAAGTTTACTTTTTGAACAAACTAAAGGTTTTCTGGCATTCGTGGTGGTGCAGTGGTGTAGCTTGTAGCATACTATTGCATTAAGCACGTATCTCTAGAAAAAAAGTAGCTCAGCTGTAACTGCCTGTGGATTGGGGAGCTGCTGGTGAAGATACAGAGTCTAAGACACAGAGTTTACAGATTAATTGCATGCTGTAATTCCATTTTCAAAACTCAAAAAAATGGTTCTCACTGCATCAACTTATCATGATGTGTCAAAGTGTACAGTAAAAAATGTTCCCACTTAATAAAAGATATGACAATTTTTTGACATCAAAATAAAAATTCCCACGTGTAGATGGTCCTATACAACACATTACAAACTGAAGATAACATTTTTAATTTGAACTTCCTAAAACATGTGTTGCATCTCTATAAATGCTTGTATTTAGTAAAATTTCATTTTAAAAAATACCTAAAGGATATATTTTTATATGTTTAGTAGTGGCAAGAATATAAAATCAATTTTTCTAAAGGCCTTATGTTAACACATTTCATTATTTACAGGTGCTAATGTGACTGATCATTGATGACTGATGTTTTCCTATTAGATCATGGTGTCACAGGATGTAGGGTGGTTTCAAATAAGTCTACCAACAAGAGCATGGGCTCTCATGGTTTGCTGAAGGAGAACTCTGTAAAGTAGAAAGATGCCACACCACCCAAATTTACTTGGCAAATGGTGAACTGGAATCCACAGAATGGGGCTTCCTCTGACACCCAGCTGTAGTGCCTTCTGCACTTTTCTATACATGATCAAATGTCCAATATCTGACCTACCAGATCATGCCTTGGTTGAAGATCAGAGCGAGGACATTGCCACTGATGTCAAATTCTGTGTATGAAGGCTGGAGAAAGCACAGATGCTGGATTAGCACCTCAAAATGAAAGCCAAACAGCAAGAGGCGCCACATGAACATGCCTAGGCTCTCACTACTTCTAAACAGCAATAGCAGAATAATGACTAG